AAAAAGTACTCCATGGATCCACAAACTACAAACTTAAACTTGATAAAGGGTATCCATGAAGAAGCTACACCTAACATTGCACCTACTAATAAATGAACACTTTCCAACTAAGATCAGGAACAAGACAAGAAAGTCTGTTCTCACCACTTCTGTTTAACATTGCATGTGTGACACATAGGTAAGAAAAAGAAATAGAAATAAAGAGTATCCAGACTTGAAGAGGTAAAACTCTCTTTGCAGATCACAGTGTCTTATACATAGTCTTAAGGAATGCAATTAAAACTACTATAAGAATAAAGTTCAAGAAAGTTGCAAAGTATAAGACTAGTGTTATAAAAGTCAATTTTATTTCTACATGCTACCAACAATCTGATACTAAAATTAAATCATCGTGTTTACAATAGCATAAAAATATTTTGTAAAAGATTAAAATACTTAGGAGTAAATATAGCCAAAAAGTTGCAAATGGACATAGTAGTGCATTCCTGTAATCCCATAACTTGGGAGGCTGAGACAGGAGGATCACCATGAGCTTGAGGCCAGCCTGGACTACAGGGTGAGTTCAGGGCCTGCTTCAAAAAATCAAACAAACAAAAAAATTGTTCCTTAGAAGTACATTGTTTTTACTTACTAAAAATAAAAGTTTTTTTTTCCCCACAAACAAACGTTCACAGATCAGAAGACTTAAATTGTTAAAATGGCAATACTCCCTGGATTGATGTATGGGTTCAACATTATCCTTGATAAAAGTCAAGCTCTTTCTGCATAGATTGACAATTATGTTCCTATAATGCCCGAGGAGATGAATGGGCTTCAGAATGGCCAAGAGAATCTTGAAAAATAACAAAGTTGGAGGTGTCACAGCATCAGATTTTGAAACCTAAATACAAAGCCATAGTAGTAAAGGCTGTGTGGTACCACAGCAGTGGGCTAGCTGTTCACAGGGGACTCACACTGAGAGTCTAGCTGTGAATACTCCCATGTATGAGCAGTTGGTGTTCAACAGAGGTGCTATTTCAGTGAGAAAAAGAAGTGTGTTCAGCAAGTGGGGTTGGGATAACATTCACATACCTGAAGAGTGAAACCGGGCCTCCACGTACTACCATGTGTGTGGCAGTCCAGCCGTCACAACACTAACATGCCTGAGTTAGGGAGTGAGGACTGAGAAAGGAAAGAACACTCAGACCCTGAGTGGAGACCAAGAGGAGTCTGATCTAGTTCACAGAAACAGCTCCTTTTAAAGGCTCCCATCAGCAAGAAGCTTTTAAGGGCACACCACAACAGGAAGCACCAAGCAATTGTTTTTATCTTTATGTAAAGATGGGATTTCCTGACTCTTACAGATAACATCACATCTTTGGCTAACGAGTTCCTGTTATCCCAGGGTCAAAAACAAAGCAAGTTTAACAAACAGTGTCCTTGAAAAGTAACAAATGTTACATAGATTGTGTTGATACCTCACTTGTACAGGAAGAAGTTATTTTCCAAATGTCAAACTCCAGTGTGCCATGACTGGGCCCCCACACATGTGCAACAGTAACCCAAGGCCTGGGGATGTAGCTCAATGCTACCATGCTTGCCTGATGTGTGAGGGGCCCTGGGTTTGATCCCCAGCAGTGCAAGAGCAAAAACAAAAACTTGAAATAGATCATAAGACTATACAACTCTTACCTGAGCAAATCTTTATGAGCTTGGGTTAAGAAGTGATTTTTTTTTTTATGTTGGCATCAAAAGCATAAAGACAAAAGAAAAATATATAAACTGTACTCAATTAAAATTTAAAGCTTCTGGGCCAGGGACGTAGCTCAGTGGCACCGTACCTGCCTGGCAAGTGCAAGGTCCTGAGTTCAATCCCTAGTACAAAAAACAAAAACAAAAACAAAAAAAACCCAAATTAAAAAAACTTTTGTGCTTCAAAGTACACTCAGAATGGGGGAGAAATGTTTGCATATCATAAATCCAAAAAGAGATTGGCAAGAATTATGTTTACAATTAAAAAAAAGTGTGATATTAATCTTTTTTTTTTTTTTTTCTGTACCAGCGGTCAAACTCAAAACCTTGCATTTGCAGGACAGATGCAGTGCCACTGAGCCACATCCTCGGCACAGATTTACTTTTATTATATCTTGAATTATAGGTGTGCTAGTTAATCTTGACTGTCAGTTTGATTGCCTCAAGTGATGCCGAGGAAATGAGTAAAGCCCTGGTGGGTGAGTCAGGTGCGTTGTGGGAGGGTGACCCTGAGGGCTGCATCTGGTCTCTCTCTGGCTGCTTTCTGGCTCCCTGGCTGCCTCATGGTGTGCAGCTGTCCTCTGCCATGCTCTCCACCACAATGCTTCTGCCTTGGAGCTGCTTCTGTAGACTGAAACCTCTGAAATTGTGAGCCCAAAATAAACCTTTTCTCCTTTAAGCTGTGTATGTCAAATGTTTTGTTCCAGTGACAGAAAGCTGACTAATAGAAAGGATAAAGTATTTGAGTAGGCATTCTCCAGAGAAGTTGCCTGAGGGGTCAACAAGCATGTGAAGAGATGCTGAACACGATTAGTCATCAGGAAAAAAATTTTTTAAAATGAGATACTATTCTACACGAAAGCAAGTTTTGGTAAGAATATGGAGAGATCGTCAACCTTATACCTTACTGTTGAGAATTTAAAATGGTGAAGAACATCTTGGCAGTTCCTCAAAATGTTAAACATTAGACTTACCAAATGACACAGCATCTCTGCTTCTATGTACCCAAGGTAAATAAAAAACAAACATTCACACAGAAACTTATAGATGCGTTAGTCATGACAGCCAAAAAAGTAGAAACAACCCAAATAACCCATTAGTGACCAATAGGTAAAAACTGGTAAAGCCATACAATGGAATTTTGTTTTTCCATAAAAGTGAAGAATTACTGATACGTGCTGTAATAGGGATGGATCTTGAAAACATTATTGTAAGTGGAAGAAGTCATTCACATATTGTATGTATTGCCACATACTGTATGGCTCCATTTATGTGAAATGTCCAGAACATGCAAATCTGTAGAGACAGGAAGTTGGTGATTGGCTGGGGTGGGATGTTGGGTGTGGTACTGGTTCAAGGATCGAGGGCACAGTGACTGTAGTGAGTATAGAATTCCTTCTTAGAGTGAATAAAAATGTTCAAACTCAACTATGGTTACAGTTGCCCGACTCCATGTATATAGTAGAAGCCACTGTGCTGTACAATTGAAATTGGTGGATTACAGGCATGCATGTGAACAGTTCATGTGTATGTACAGGGCATATGGGATATCAGATGCTGTTGAGTACTAGGAGACAAGGGGAAGAAAGAAGAGCTCAGACCACCGGTTGGAGTTTTATTTTATTTTGTTTTGAGGTGCTGGAGATCGAACCAGTTATGTGCTAGGCAAGTGTTCTATCATTGAGTCACATCTCCAGCCCCGAAGGTTCTAAGCTCAAATGGGAAGATCCTGGCAGGAATCTTTGAGGAGATGTTGTGTGAGCATGACGCTGAATGAGGTGAGGGAGTAAGTTAGGTAGATGCTAGCTGGGGAAGAGCTTGCTGGGATGCCTGGATGTGGGTGTGGGCTTCATCACTGCCCATATATGTGACCTTGGGAAAGTTATTTAATGGCATCGTGCCTCAGTTTCTTTGTGTGTCAAACAAGAATAATACCTATTTCAAAAGGCTATCATGTAGATTAAATGACAAAAGCAAAAGAAAGTAAAGCACTCAGAACAGTACATTGGTTCAGAGTAAAAGGCTTTACAGTTCTTTTCATTAGTTTCTACTGCAAGGACACAGCCCTTACATTGGAACATGTAGCTTGCTTGGAATATGGGGTAAAAAGGACGCCAGGGTATAAGAGGCAGAAGGCTTGTGTTTCTTCTCTGTGAGAAGAGAAATCAATGGAAAAGTTTGAGCAGAGAAAAGACAAGATCTGATTCATGTTTTCATACCATCTGTCTGGCTCCTGTCCTGAAAAAATAGTAGCCCTTGCATATCCATTGTGAATTGGTTCGAGGCCACCCCAATAGCAAAATCTATGGATGCTTGAATAATTTATACAAAATGGCATATAACATACGCACATCCTCCTGTGTATTTTTTCAGGTCTGTTTCCTTTCCTCCTGTATACTTTAAGTAACCTCTATATACCTGATGCATTGTAGATGCTATGTAAATAATTGTCATGCTGTATTGTTTAGGGAATTACAAAAGAAAGAGCTTGTTACCTGTTCGTAACAGATGGAAAAATTTTTTCAGAATATTTCAAATTTACTCTTAGTTGAATCCATAACTCAGATATGGAGGGCAGCCTGTATAGCGAAAGAGGAGGAGAGTGTAGTCAAGGAGTAGTTCTGCTTTGAAGATAGATCCAACAAGCTCTATGGAGGGATTGAGATATTGGGTGTGAGAGAGACTGCAGTGATCTGAGCAGTTGTCAGAATTTGTTGAGATGATGATGTCTGACGGGGACTTTTTGATTGGGGTAGGCGAAGAAGGGAAAGCAAGTGGAGAGGGATCAGGATTTTTACCGTGGACATGTTAAACTCAAAATATGTTACACATTCAAGTGGGCCGACGCTCAGGGGAGAGGTTAGGATTGGAAAGAGGACGAATCAGTGATGCTTTCATACTATTTATTGAAATCCTTGTCTGTGCCAGGTTCTATTCTGGATCCTGGAAATACACTTGAGAATGTGGAGGAGCTCTTAGGCAGCTTAATGGTAAAGCAGGTCATAAGTTAGCAGATAAGCGAAGTAATGTAAGCCATATGAGCTCTCCATATGAAACACAATGTATAACAGCTATTGTTTTTAATGCTCAGGGTATTGCAACTGCCTCCCATTGAGATCTATGATAAGAGCACTCCTTTTCCCAGTCAAGGGTCTGCCTAGTTGCTAATCAGCTACGTAGTTTAGGGAAGGGGGGGAGAACCGCGCAAGCGCAGTTTTAGTTTGGCGTTCTAGGCTGTAGACGCAGAAAGGTTCTGCGCAGGCGTAATTTAAGAGCCTGAAGGCGCTTGAGCCCAGAGTTGGGAGGGGCGAGCTCGGAGCGCGCCTGCGCCTTGAGTGCTCTCGCCGAAGGAGCCGCATTCTCAAGAGCGCCAAGGAGGTGTTCTTGTAGTCCCTGACTAGCCTCTCCCGCGAAGCCGGGGTTGTTGGACTGCAGCCCGCCGGGACGTCCTCTGGGCACGGGAAGGGGCCACCATGCCGGTGAGCAGAGCCGCTCGGCCGCTGAGGTTCCTTCTCATCCCCGCGGCCTGGCTCGGGGGCGCGGCCGTT